GCTACAAGTTGACAGAACATTACTACAAGTTAACAGAACATTACTACAAGTTAACAGAACATTACTACAAGTTAACAGAACATTACTACAAGGTAACAGAACACTACTACAAGTTGACAGAACATTACTACAAGTTGACAGAACATTGCTACAAGTTGACAGAACATTACTACAAGTTAACAGAACATTACTACAAGTTAACAAAACACAACTACAAGTTAACAAAACACAACTACAAGTTGACAGAACATTACTACAAGTCGACAGAACATTACTACAAGTCGACAGAACATTACTACAAGTTAACAGAACATTACTACAAGCTAACAGAACATTACTACAAGTTGACAGAACATTACTACAAGGTAACAGAACATTACTACAAGTTGACAGAACATTACTACAAGTTAACAGAACATTACTACAAGTTAACAAAACACAACTACAAGTTAACAAAACACAACTACAAGTTGACAGAACATTACTACAAGTTGACAGAACATTACTACAAGTCGACAGACATTACTACAAGTCGACAGAACATTACTAGAAGTTGACAGAACATTACTACAAGTTCACAGAACATTACTACAAGTTGACAGAACATTACTACAAGTTCACAGAACATTACTACAAGTTGACAGAACATTACTACAAGTTAATGAGTTTTCTATCTCAGTTTTGTGTAATGCTGTCATGGTTAGTTTGGTGACACTGTCAATACGGCTTCCCCTATGAGAAGATGAATTGTCTATAACCAGCTGACCAGACAAACATGGCGGACATTCTGAATCTTACATATTCGTAGCCTAAAGAAAGGGAACAAATAGTTAAGTACGTAAAATTTTAAAGTTCTCTTAGGCTTACTAGGGCTTTCAAACTACGAATTAATAACAACAATTAATCACATCGAACAATAATATTTTGCGTTCAATTTTTCATGTTTAAATATCTTAGTTCATGATATATATGTACTGACTTGCAATAATGGCATATCCTGCACGTGGAAACAACGAAGGTGTCAACAGCTGTAGGTAATATGATATATGTTACCTGGTGAACAATAGCAAGAACTTAAGTTTCATGCTTAAGAATGGTGCCTGACCAAAACAGGTATAGAGAAAAACAGCTTGACTGGGCATGACCCTTTAGAGGGTATGCAACCAGCACCATACTTAATAATGGTGCTTTACCATATATTATAGAGTGTGCAACTAATGTTTACAGAGTATTCTGTGCTTATAAAGACGTGAATATATGACAAGTTTCAATTCAATGCTCCGTAGAGTTCTCCTAGAATATCGAATGTGCAAAGTGTGGGTGGAAAAGGCGAGTCCTGGTGGGTGTTACACAAGCTAAGTATTTCCACATTAGGGGCATGCAATGCTTGACCCATAAAGATCCAGGGGCCAGGACTAACGATGTTTCCAGTGACATTCACATCCAAAATGGGATTCCCTGCCCAACGTGTCATAGGGGCAGTCATTTTGTTTTCTGTGTGATTAAATCAGGGACCGTTTGTCATCTGGGTGTTAAGGTAAAGACATGACGTTCTGTATGGCTGAATAGCCTGGCTTCTTCATCTTTCCAATAACTATCTTTATTGGTAAATATCAGATCAAATAGAAAAAAATCATATATTTAGAAATACATTTCAGACACTTACAGTTATGTCTCGTTCCATCACAAACATAACTTTCTGCTACGATCAAACTTCAATCATGTCATAGATATCAAAAACCTACTTCTGTGGACCTTTCAGTCATGGGGACGTTATAAACGACGGTCAATCCCACTACTCTTTGGTAAAAGAATAGCCCAAGAGTTGTTGGTGAGAGGTGTTGACTAGCTTCCTTCCCTCTAATCTATCAATGATAAATTGGGAACGGCTAGCGCAGATAGTCCTGGTGTAGCTTTACGCGAAACTCACAACAAACCCAAACCTTCTTTTCATGCCATCAAATACATATTTATCCATCTAAATACAGAAATATTTGGTAAATTTATATTTCTTACAATACTAAAACACTACATCTCATTCTCAAAACGCGTGTGTAGTTATTTATTTTAAGTGTTGTTGTTTTATATTTCAGCAAACAAAATCCATGTTAGCCCTACTTCAAAGGCTATTTTAGATGTTTTTGGAACATTCATTATGTCAACAAGAGGGGAGGTTGAGCTAAAGGTAAGTGTCAACTTCATGTTTTGTTACTTACAACATTAAAACAAAATAATAATAATTCATTAATTTATTTGTACTGTATGTTAACAAATATTACGTGATATTAAAATATAAAGTAATGTGACAAACCGTCAAAATACTCTTACAGTAAATAGAATACGTTACAATAATTGTGTACCCCAGAGTATCCTGTCGTGTAACAAGATATGCGATTAATTCGTTATGGATATTCATACCTCAGTTGGCTGCTTGAAAATACACAACTGGGCGTGGCTAAGTTGTTATATCGTACACGTGCAGTGGGTGTTCTGGAAGAGTGACGGTCAAATCCAATTATTCCTCCCACAAGAGTAGTTCAACAGTTGGCGGTGGGTGCTACTGACTAGCTGCCTTCCTTCTAGTTTATCATTTGAAAATAAGAGATGGTGATACAGGGATAGCTCTTTGTGTAGCTTTGAGCGAAAATTATATAATAAACTTGTTTTTTATTTCTCTAAATCAAACATTTTTAACGTGTAAATTAGCAGTACGTGTGGGAACTCATAACGCTAAAAAACGGGTTTCGATACTCGCGGTGGGCAAAGTACAAATAACTTATTTGTCGTGGTGAGTACCCGAAGACTTTCCTGCATGTTTTACTCCATTTTAGGTGTGTCTGTCCGTTCTCGAGTAATAAGATTACCATCTTTCAATATTAATTTTATCTTACTTGATTTCAATGACTGAATCAAGTCATACATAATTTAGTTACTTGATTTAAATATTAGTCAGACTTTCATTAACATTATAAAATTCATTCAGTAATTCCCAGCATTTGGATTTATTTCAAAATATCAAGTACTTGTTTTTCCTTCTATCTCTAAGTAAATTAAAATAATTCTTAAAAAAATATAAAATATAACCTATCAATCTTTGCACCCGTCCTCCGGCGAGTTTGCGGTAAACTTGAAAGCTTATAACGTTAAACTTCAAGGTTCGATCCTTGCTTTGAGCTCACACACACACACAGCTATCCCATTGTGCAGCTTTGTACTTAATAAAACAAACAAAGGATTAATGTTTTCATGATAAGCCAATTTTGATTTTAAGAATAATAATTAGGAAAATGATAACATTGAAGGGTATTTCAAACTATACATATTATCAAATCATTATCTGTTACTGCAGGGAAAAGGAAAAATACTCACCTATTGGCTGGAAGGAGAATCTGAAGACAGTATAGAAACCAATGAAAAGTTTCTTCAGCGCGTACAAAAAGTTGTTATGGAATCATTCGAATAACACAAAAGGCGTATTTTTCTCAAGTCACAGCACTCTCGGTCAGTGGAGATATAAACACCATTTCTGTTGTTTGTAAATTACTTGTGTATCTTGTTTCATTTTACTCTAGATTGTCTTTCATGGTAAATGTCTCCCAAATTCATGCAACTTGTAGTAATGTTCTGTCAACTTGTAGTAGAGTTCTGTTAACTTGTAGTAACGTTATGTCAACTTGTAGTAGAGTTCTGTTAACTTGTAGTAACCTTCGCCATTACTCTCCATACGGGAAG